AGTAGTGCACAGACAGTGCCACTCACAGTGCTGGATACCCTGAGAGGGATGCAGAATCCCAGGCTTCACTGCATCCCGCTTGCTCAGAGTACTCTTCAGTCAGACCCCTGCTGCTTAGTAACCCTAATCTAGGATGACCATTTGCAAATCACATGTAGCACATACAGGAGCTGGCAAGCATTATGAACTATCCCAGGGTCCCATTCTCCACTTACAGATTCATGATATCTGGTGTTAGGCACCCTAAATGATTGAGCTGGGCACTGGGGTTGAAACCATTGGGCATAGTTGAAGCCCTGTTACAAGGGCTCTCTCTAGGTTGGTAGAACTTCCCAGTGGAGACAGCTGCAGAACTCACTGGATAGCAGTCTACTGGGCTCCTGGGCTCCACTGAAACAGCACACAAATCTAAGGACTTACTGAGGCTGAATGGGTTTCACTTCTAATCCTGGCATGGGGGGTGGTGGAGGCAAGAAAATCAGAAGTTTAGAGATCTCTCTTGGAAAGTATTCAGGAGAACTGAGAATTGGAGCCCAGTTTTGATTGAATTGGCACCATGTGCTGAGTCAAGTATCCAGGGGCAAGGCAGCAAGAACTGTATAAAAAGCAGCAGACACGGTGGTGTGTGCTTTGGTGGTGTGCACTTGTATACTCTGTGCTGGGGAGTAGGTGACAGGCTGATGTGTAGGGCTTGGTGGCCAGCCAATGTAGCTTACTTGGAGAGCTCTATACCAACCAACCAACCAACCAACCAACCAACCAAAAGCAACAACAACAAGCCTCCCCCCTCCCCGAAAAAACAAAAACAAAAACAAAAACCAAGCCCTGTCAAACTGGGACCATGAGATGTCTCTGTAGGAAAAGGCATTTGTATCCCACTACTCCTTGGCAGAGGCAGGAGGATCTCTGTGAGTTCAAGGCCAGCCTGGCCTCCATAGAAAACTCCAAGCCAACCGAGTATACCTAGTGAGACCCTATCTCAAAAAACAAGCCAACCAACCAACCAACCAACCAACCAACCAACCAACCAACCAATTAATCAATCAACAAATAAAGCCAACCAACCAACTAAACTAACAACAGAAACCAAAAGAGAAAAAAACAAAACAAACAAACAAAGTCACCAAGAAAACCTATATTTCCTACCCTCAAAAAAACATTAGCTCTCAGGAGTCTCAGGCTGATGAAAGGCAGAGTCAGCCTGCTCTGTGTGCTCTTCTTTCCTGTCAGCTGCCTCTGTGGCAGCTGCCCTGCAGCCCAGCTTCCCACCCAGTGTAGGAATGCCTGTCTCTGACCGGTTTGCACCTTTTGCCTCCTCCAGCTGGGTTTCAGCCCATTTCCCCCCAACCTTCTCATCATTTCCCCCCACCCTTTCATATGCTTTACTTCAGCACCCACAGTTTTCTCCCATCCATCACCCACCAATCAGACCGAATGTGTTGACTTTCCCAAGACTGCTGCTGTCAGGGCCTTTCCAGCAGAGTGTGAAATATGTGGGTGGGAAGGGTGTGGTTGGCAGGACCTCTTTCTGGTCGCAACTAAACTTCCTGCTTTGGGTCTTTGGTCTTGGGCCTCTATTAAGTGTCCTAGAGCCTTCTGGAATGTAGGTGTACACCTTTCTCTTTGGTTATAGCTCAAGACTTCCTCTTTTTTTTTTTTTTCAAGTTGGCCATGTTTTCCCCTCCCCTGCTCACGCAGATGAGGGCGGCTCATCACGCAAAACGAATTCAATGGCCACACCTGTAACTTAGGGCCTACTAGTCAATCCAGAATTCATGGATCCCACTTAGTGTGGTTCAATTTTCCCTGTACCTCAGACCCTCTAGGGCAATGGTTCTCAACCCCCATTGGGGATCAAATATTAGATACCCTGGATATCAGATATTTATATTATAATTCTTAACAGTAGCAATATTACAGTTGTGAAGTAGCAATGAAATATTTTTATGACTGGGGCTCACCACAACATTAGGCACTGTACGAAAGGGTCCCAACATTATGAAGTTTGAGAACCATTGCTCTAAGGAGTTTAAAAACTGGATGGCATTTTTGCCTGGCTTGAACTTGTGCAGATCCTATGTTTGCCATCACAGTCTCTGAGAGAAAGGGAAGTAGACACCAAGTCCCACCTCTACCCAAGAAGCTCTTGGCAACTGTTAGCTTTTCTTCTTAGAGTGGCCCTGGGTATATCACCCAGACCCCAGGGCAGACCTCCTGCTCAGGAGTAGCTGGCCCACACAAACTGGACTCCATGGTTTTATTTTGGGGTGGGGAAAGGCCAGTGATTAAAACATTGCAGAGAGGCCTACTAGCTGCTCTGAGTGGGGAAGTGTGGGGTGAGATGGGGCATACAGGTCAGGAAATGGCTTCTAATGGTATTGACCTGTAATAGAGCTCAGTGAAGAGACGTAGGGCTGAATCACGATGGCAGGGTAGGATGACGGGGACGTGTTAACTGCCAACCGGAGGATGTCTAGTCCATGGAGACTGAACCCAGGGTATATGCCCAGCTTTTAGTCTTACTCTCCAATGTGTTCTTTGCTCTAATTCTAAGTTGTTGAGGCAGAAGACCTGATTCTGAACTTGCCTTGGTCTGTCTGAAGGCAACTGAGCCAGTACCATCACTGCAGAAGACTCAGTCTTCTCCTGTGGGGCCTTCCTTCTACTAGTGCCTATGTTCCTGGTCTGAGGGATAGGTTAGGGAGCTAACACTACCGATCTTGTGGACAAGAACAATAGCTACATGCCCCAACCATGAATCAGGCAGGGCATATGTGTGACAATGGGCTGGATGGTGTTGAGATGTCAAAGCTTTTAAATTTAGACTCTATTTCAGAGAACCTGACCTACGTTTGAATTCAGGTAAACTAACAGGCTGGTACCTAACATTAGTTTCCAAGTTTCTCCCCAGCAAAACCTGAGCCTAGCTCCAGTCTCTATGCTAATAACCCCCAATAAGACCAGAGTTTCCAGGTTACACCCTCAATAAGACTAGTGTCTCCTGGTTATTTCCCCAACAAACCTGCACCCCAGGTTACAAGCCTTGCCTAATGACCACCAATGCGGAGGGGAGCAGAAATTAAGTTTATGATATGACTCTAGCACCAGCCAATTATGTTGAAGGCCACAGTAGCTTTCCAATTAGATGCTTGTACACATACTGCTTGTGGTTTACTATAAAGCCTTGCCCTGATAGACATTCGGAGTTCCCCCACCACCCAAACCATCCTGTGTGACAGGGCCCAAGCTAGCTCGAATAAAGACCCTGCTGTGAGTGACATCAGATCGACTCCTGTCTGTTTTTTTGGGGATCACCAATATTTCCCTGGCACAACAGTGTGCCGTCAGGGCCCTCCCAGCATAGAGATCTAAATCCCATCACTAAGTGTGTGTCTACGAACATGAGACAGATGCTCTGTGTAACCCAGGACAAGGTGTGGGTTCTCCTTCCCTCCATCTGCTTCTCTGGGTGGAGATCAGAGTTAAACAGTGGTTCCCCTCTTCCCTCCACACTCCAGCTTCCAAAGAGGCTGTACTTGTTTTCCTTACCTAATCGCACCTTTCCTTTCTGGCTGCCTTTGCTGCTCTGCACTTTATAAGGCATAGAGGGCTCAATATGTAAGTTCAGGTGAAAAAGAAAAACCAAATCAGGAATTACATCTGTCTTAGTGACCATCTTAACCAGCTGCCAACACTGTCTTGGGTGTAAGTAACAGGAAGTAGATGCAGCTAATGGAGGAGAAAGTAATTGTCACCTTCACACCCATTCAAGCATTCAAGAGCCGGCTCACATGGTATCTCTTTTGTGTTCCTGTGTTATGTATGTGTGTACATGTGAACTGGTACTTGTGAACATATGTTCATGTGTGGAGGGCAGAGGTAAATGTTGCTTCCTCCCCACTCTATTTATTTATTTGTTTATTTATTTATTTATTTATTTAATGGAGGCAGGGTCTTTGCTGAACCTGGAACTCTCTGATTTAGCTAGACTAGCACTAAGTACATTCCTGCCATATTTGAAAAATTTAAAATACAACCTCTAGATTTTGAAGATTTGGGTTCAAGACCTAGACTTTGACCTAAAGACCTAAAGACCGGAGCAACCTTGGCCAAGTTAATCACTCTTTTGTTTTTTGTTTTTTTGGAGACAGGGTTTCTCTGTATAGCCCTGGCTGTCCTGGAACTCACTCTGTAGACCAGGCTGGCCTCAAACTCAGAAATCCACCTGCCTCTGCCTCCCAAGTGCTGGGATTAAAGGCGTGTGCCACCACTGCCCTGCAAGTTAATTGCTCTTATCCTCAGTTTCCTCACATGGAAATGGAAATACTATTATAGGCTTAACAGAGAAGACCACTTAAGACAATGATGATGAGGAGGAGGACGATGACGAAGACAACAACAGAGGGTAGAGAGATGATTGATCAGCCATTATGAATACATGTTGCTCTTGTAGCAGGGTTTGGTCCCCAGCACACACACAGTGGCTCACAACCATCCTAACACTCTGGTTCCAGGAGATTCTAAGCATGCTTCTGAACTTCTCAGGCACCAGGCACACAAGTGGTGCACAAACATGCATGGAACCAAAACACTCAGACACATTCAAATAAATTATAATATAGGGAGAATTATTATAAACACACAAATTAAGCAAAACAACAGTAAAATTAATAAAATCCTGCTTATTAATTAGGAGATGAAGTTACCAGTGAGGTCCCTGGTGTTGGAGGACTTAGGGCTACTTGCACAGGTGTAAAAAACTGATGGGTAAATGGTGGATCAGTGTCTACTGGGAAAGGCTGCAGGTTTTGAATCCAGGCAGATTTTGGTTTTGTGATATTTGGCAGTATTATCTTTTATATGGAGAGGGAGTCCTTCCCATAACACCACAAAATTCACTACCAGTAAAGCACGGAGTCAGAGACTGCCAGTACTCCGGGGGAGGGCGTGGCTTCTGTCCACTTCCTGAGTCTTCTACCGGAACCGGCACATGCCCCGGAAGCAGTTGTTGAACCGGTCTGGGTGAGATTAGGGGACGGACACCATGCTGCTTTCCGCCGTCTCTTGTAAGTCGTTCTGAGGCGGCGGCAGGGCCTGTGGCGTGGGGCCGAGGCGGTGACCCGCAGGTCCCGAGGTGGAGCCCGGCGGGGTGGAGGACCTGGCGCGGCGGCTGCCACCCCGCGGCGCGCCTTCGGGTCTGGTGAGGAGGCGGCGGCATCTCCGTCGCCCTCTGTGGCGGTGTCCCGAGGATGTCTTCTGGCAGCTGTGGTGTATTACCCCGCTGCCTGACTTCCTGATTAGAGTTCGTTTCCACCTCAGGCGACTTTGCTGCAGTTTGTAAAGTTCAAACAAGAGCCGTGTTGCGGTACAAATATTTACACCATAGAAGGGTGGGAAAGGGACAGACAGTACTTAAGATGTTAAGGTGACAGACAGTTGCATTGATTATACCCACCCCCCAAAATCCAAAGTTGTGTGGGTTTGACTGATATCCAGGAAAAAGCTATTTTAGTGTAAGCAGGGTAAATTTTAAAAGTGTTTTTTGGTTATTACTAATGTTGATAAGCACTTAAGTAAAAAAAAAATAATAAAAATCTTTTTTTTTTCCTTCCAACCTTTACACACATACAAGTTGCCAAGAGCAAGTCAAAGTAAGTAAAGATTTTTGTTTTATTTAGAATATGCTTATTACTGTTGGGATCGGTCCGGTGTTTGGTTTTGCTCTCCCAAAGGTTGACTTGCGGTTATTTATTTGTTAATCGTTATGTTGATGTGAACACCTTGGGAAAACCGTCCAGACGTACCTGCCTTTGATGGTGCTACCATTCGACAGTTCTGCCCTGGGTTGCAGATAGATAAGCTGAAAATGCATCTACTATACTGAAACCACAGAACACAGCTTAGCAACTCATACCTTGGTGGCTGGTGGGAAGCTGAGGTACCCATTACTGGGGTGGGGGGGGGCGGGGAGCACAGCTGGCAATCTGGCAAAGCCGTGCACTCACACTGGTAAATTAGGCTGTAAGTTGAGGACTGTGCTGTCCCCCTCCTGTCCCTGGGAGGGACTCCAGGGAGTATTCACAGCCTTTGTGTAAAGGCTTTGCTTCCTGTCTCACCTCAGGATCTATCAGTTCATTGCTTTACTCCTAAACAAGCCGTCAGGCTAGTGATCTGCTTGGCTCTACCGTCAGAGCCATTTACCTGGAGTCTTCTGCAGGAATGAATCTATAGATGAGCTCTGATGAAAACCTAGAGCCTGTTTATAGAAGTCTATGTCTAAGTATTAGCAAGGTTGCAGAACTAAACATTAGACAGCTGGAACCGAGAGGCTAGACCTGTGCCTTGCCTTTCCCTGTGTGCCAGTTCATCTGTTTCATAATTTTAGCCCCTAAAAGATGCAGACTTGGTTTTATGCTTCTTGTAGGGCGCCTCACAGGGTAAGTACCCCATAGAGATTTGTTGAATCTTTGTGAATGAATGAATAAATATGTTAATTACACCTCCCCCCCCCCCAGTACTGGGGATTGGACCTAGGACCATGCTGGGCAAAAGCTCTCTCCCTGAATTCTCTTTAGCCCTCATATCTGTTTTTCTAAGTTTTCAGACAAGGCCTCAATGAGTTGCCCAGGCTGGCCTTGAACTTGTGAACTTCCTCCTCCAGCCTCCTGAATGGTTAGGATTGTTGGCCTGCACCACGAGTCCTGGCATCATTGTCTTTTTTGTCTCATCAACAAATTCTGTGGTCCTCAGGGGAGTAATGTGGTCTTCTTGCCTTTATTTTGTGCTTTGAGACAGGATCTCAGTCTGTAGTCCAGGTTGGTCTTCAAGGTAATCCTCCCGTCTCAGCCTTCAGAGAGCTGGGATTATAGAGCCTCCATGCCTGGTTGTAATTAATATGGTTTCAAGTGCTTTAGATAGATTTTGGAATGGCATAAGGAATGTCTTGTGTGTGGAGGCAAAGACGACACACACATATGAGAAAGTAACAGCACAGGCATTCAAAGGTCAGGGAGATTAAGTTTGCTGGTTTGGATGACTAATTTAAATGAAATATGAAGGTGCCCAGGGCCTGTACATTATTTTGTCCCTTCCTGCTATCAGTCATTTGGAAGATCAGCTCTCCTGAGGCAGCCATCCTCAGGGTTGCCTTACTGTGACTACCATCATACTGTATATTCTCCCACCAGCTCTCTGATCCTTGTGAGAGATGTCCTCAGAGGCTCCTTCTGATTTGGCTTCATCACTCCCACTGTTTTGGCAAGGCACTTGCCAAACACGGAGTCACTCTAGGAGTGTCACGGAGTCACTCTAGGTGACCTTGGGATTTAGAGCTATTGAAATAGTTTTATGGGAAATGTAGACTGTCAAGGCACGGACCCCTCTTAGGGCCGAGTAATATGACCACTATGACTTCATAGCAAAATGTTCTCTGTGTTCTTGGCAGCCTACCTAATGTGTTTTGAGCTTGTGACAGTGTACTTTTTGATTTTAGAACTATTCTGGTGAAATTGGTGAGCCAAGCTGGGACAGGTTTCTCCTTCAACCACAAGAGAAGCCGACTTCGAGAGAAGCTGACCCTTCTGCACTATGATCCAATAGGTAAGGCTCAGAAGTGACGTCACGGCAACTCTTGTTCTAAGGACCTTATATCTTCTTTCCAAATGAATGTCTCTGGGGATTTTTGTGGCCCCCTTGGAATTGTGACATTCATTCAGTGATATGTACTGAATGTTACTATGGTGCTAGCTAGCTGCTATGTCAGGTGTGGGTACACTAGGACACAAGAGCTTTGAGAGGGTGGGAGGAAGTGAGAAGTGAGCTCGTGGTAAGTAAGTGCTGTGACGTCCTGTAATCCCATCGGGACGTTGGAGAGGTACTTGAGCTGGGATAGTCAGGCAGAGGCTCTAAGAAGGGTTAGTTACAGTGAAGGTAGGAAATCAGCTGTCTGAAGAATAGGCAGTAGCCTTCTGTGAAGGGGGGGTGGTCTGACAGTGGCAAGTCACAGGGTTCACATTTGAGTTAAACAAGTAGAGAGTATGTTGGTACATTGGGGTAGGACATTTGGGTTTCTATCATGCTTTCTACCAAAAATGCCATAATAAAGAGTAACTTTAATTTTGGCTTGGAGACAGACATACTTTGGCTGATGAGATGGCTCGGCAGATGAAGGCCAGTGAGCCTGGTGACCTGAGTATCATCACTGCAGCCTACATAGTAGGAGAGAGTTTTACACTGCAGGTTGTTGTGATCCACGCACGTGCCTCTTCCACATACACTCACAATAGATAAATGCTGTCAATTAAATAGAGACATGTCCCAAAGGCTATGTGTCCACTCACAAACCCAGCCCTGCTGGTGCATGCCCACTCTCTGCTGAATTTGTGGACTTGGCAAAATAAGCCAACAGGTGTTTTATTTTAGAGTTTTTGCTTTGTTTTGTCTTTCTGCTCACTTTAGTTGCCTCCTAGTAAGATAAAGGCTGTATGAAGAGGCATTAAAAACAAAACCCTCAAGCTCAGTTGTCAGCTTAAAATTGTTCAAATTCCATTTTGTAATAGAAATAAAATTCCCTACTGTTTTTATGATATTCATATTTCTGTACATTTAATACTGTAATAAAAAGGGAATTCCAGTCTTAGACCTGAAGACTAGAACTCCAAATTTCAGGAAGATTCCTCTATGGTGGAGAAATTACTGGAATGAAGAGGTTTGATACTGGATTGGTGTTCTCTTCCGTTCTGATTTCCTTGTATTAACTGGTAAAAAAGTGCAGAGAATGATACTAATTTTAATATGCTAATATTTTACTGCTATTTCAGCTCCTTTAGAGTTTACTTTTAGGAATCCACCACTGTTGATAAGTGTTTATTAACTAGTTGTGAGAGTTTAAATGTGCTAGAATTTCATCCTTAATGTGGAGGACCTTTCGAGAAGTTAGGATTACGATTTGTCACTGGGAAAGGGTGCACCCTGAGCATCTTAGATAATCACAAGTTCGTATGTTAGCTTCCTGTGTGTGACTAGGTTCTCTAAGAAATGTTGGTAGCAGATGTCTTTTTTGAAGAATAGGATGTCCCATGGTCGGCAGTACCTGGCTTCCTTCTGGGGAACACCCTGTAGAGTTGTCATGAAATTGAAGATGTTTGCCTTGGGGCTGGCTTTGCTCAGGATTCCAGAGGATGTAGCCTGTTCCTATCATTTTATTGCAGTGACTAGCGTTAGTTAGAGGATAATGTTAGTCTCTTATGAAGCAAATCAGGGATGAAACACAGAAGGATTCCTAGTCAGTCGAACGTTTCACAGACTGCTCTGAGGTAACAACTGGCTACGTCTGCATGTAGTCTCCATTTTATGTGTGAGTGTTTTCCCTGCATGTATGTATGTGCACCTGTATTGCTTGTATTACCCATGACGAGCTATGGATGGTCATGAACCACTGTCTGGGTGCTGGGAAGTTGAATCTGGGTCCCCTGAACACACACTCTTACTCCCTTAGCCATCTCTCCAACCCCACCTCCTGTCTTTAGATTTACTTTCCTCATATAAAACTAGATGCCAAGGAGGAAGGATTAAAGGCTGAGGCACAAGAGTATTAAATCTTGTTTATCATAAAGAGAACAAAGAGTTGTCAGTTTTAATTCTGTGGATCACTAAACAAGGCAATATAGACTTTAATTGGAACAGAATAGATTTAGGTTAGCTGTAGGGAAAGAACTTGACAGATTCATTCTTCTATGAATTAAACAGCAAATATTTTGACTGAAAATTACATTATGTTTAGTGTTGTGGATAGCAGAGTGTCATTTCAACTCAGCTCACATGAGTGCTCACTGTTTATCTGGCAGCAGCTTTGAGGGAATGTTTGTCTTCAGGAAGGAAACAGAGGAGAGGGGCTCAGGGCTGATGCATAGTGGAACCACACTCCTTCCTTCCCTTGGCTGGGTCTGGCATCCAGAAGCTTAAGCACCCTTTAATATTGAGCTGCACCCCTAGCTCCTTGGAGTCAGTGTTAGAACCCAGCTCTTCTGGCTGTTTCTAGTACTTGGGGCCATTTATATTCTTGATATTAGTTTTTTGTTTTTAATACATTTTAAATTGAAATATAATTATGTCACCTTCCTCCAGCCTCCAGTCCTTCTCAGCCACACTCCACCGAACCCCTCTGATGTCCTCTCCAAGATCATAGCCTCTTTTCTTTGACTCTTATTGTTATGTGTATAGGTATGTATGCACACAGTAGGTCTGACTGTTCTACAGTGGACAGTCAGTAAGGGACGTACCCCTGGGAGAGGCTAACTCTCCCAGCGGTCATTAGCTGTGTGTAGTTCTTTGTCTAGAGTGACACTCGATGAGATTTTCCCCCTTCCATGTTAACATGCCACTGATACTTGTGTTGTTCGGACTTGTTTCTAGGACAGACTTTACATCAGACTTCTTGGTATTCTGGCTCTTAAACCATTCCGTCCCCTCTTCCTCGATGTTGGAGCTGTGTTGTAGATGTATCTGTTGGGGCTGGGCTCCCATGATCTGTTGATGTCTGTGCTGTGTCCAGTTGTGGTTTTCTGTGATGGTCTCCATTTGCTGTAAGAGAAGCTTCTTTGGTGAGGGATAGTAGCTACATTTACCCAGGAAAGGTGGCTTGAGCACCTTTCTGATACTTGTTTAAAATCAGGACCTTGGCTGGGGATATGGCTCAGTGGTTGAGTGTTTTATATGTACAAAGTTCTAAGTCATTCCCTAGAACTGCCCCCCACCCCCGACAAACCAGATTAAAAACCCTAAAATAGTAAAATAGAACAGTCTGGATTCTCCTCTAGTCAGCATTTGGAGTCCACTATCATTCTTTCTTCTGCCTCTTAGCTATTGGTATGCACTTTGTTTTTCAGTACTGGGATAAAACCTGGTGCTTGGCACACAGTGGGCAAGTGCTGTCTGCCGCTGTAGCCCGAGCTCTGCATCCGTTTCAGTGAATCCAAATGTTGCTGTTCTTGATGGACCAAGCTTTGATTTCTCAATGAAGTCTTACTTTTTTGTCTTTTCTTTTTCTTTATTTTGCCTCAGGTCTCACTGTGTGTTCTTGGCTTGCTTGGGACTCACGGAGATCCACCTGTTTTGGTCTTCCATGCCCAGCCAGTTTCTGTGTTTATTGGGGGTGTGGGAGTGTGTGCAAGCCGGTCAGGGTGTTACCATGTGGCTGTGAACTTGAAATCCTCCGTCCTCTGCCTTCTGAGTGCTGGGATTACAAGCATTTGCCACATTTGGTCTGATTTCTAGGTTCGTAAGAGCTTTATTGGATTTTCTCATGCTCATCTTATGATTCACTGGTGTATGAAATCATAGTTTCCTTACAAACTCTGCAGTGCCTGTCACAGTTCTGTGCACTAAATTCTTAATTACAGGGATTAATGCAGAGGATAAAGGGAATTTTAATACATAAGGCCTTGTTCTGTTAGTTGTTGTGTTTTGAGACAGAGTCTCTCTCTGTATCACAGTCTAGCCTGGAACTTGGGATGTAGACCAGTCTGGCCTTGCACACACCGAGGTTCACTTTCCTCTGCCTCCCAGGCACTGGGATTAAAGGTCTGTGCAAGCTGACCAGCTTGAAGCCTTGCTCTAATAACCAGAGGTTCTAGATGTGGTCGTTTAAATGCTCCTGATTGCCTCTCAGCAAGTGCAAACATTCCCTCATGTCTTTCATGATTCCAAGTATGTGAAAAATACCCCGTATACCTGTATTTTATTAATTTAGTGGTACATTTCTCTTGAGTGGTTAATGGTTCTTAAATTCTCATGAATTCCACCTAGAGAATGGTTAAAAAATAGTGGAATTCCTGCTGCTGAACAGGAAGTAGGATGGAGGTGAGAGACACGCAGTGTATTTGATGTTTTCTCTTTTCATTATTTGTAGGGGTGATTTGGCTACATGTATGTCTGTGTGACACTAGTGTGCCCTGTGCTTGCAAAGGATGTCAGAGCTCCTGGAACTTGAGTTATGGGTGGTTGTTAGCCAGCACATGGGTGCTAGGAGCTGAACCTGGGTCTCTTTGAAAGGCAACCAGTGCTCTTACCAGCCATCTTTTCAGCCTACCGCGATATGTTTTAAATAAGCTTCCTAGCTAATTCTTAATCGTGGCTTGGAAATTTAATGTGAGATGTATCCATTTTCATTGTAGAAGAGAAAACAAAGCTGAAGTGTCTGTATGATCAGGGACATTGAAGAGCTATGAGGTCACACAGTCCTTTGGCCTCCTGGGTTTCCTTTGTGTGTCTTGTTTTTGTGGCAAAGAAGAATCAGGTCATGTAGGGTGTGTGTGTCTGTGTCTGTGTGTATGTCTGTGTGTGTGTGTGTGTGTGTGTGTGTGTCTGTGTTGGCTGGAGACTGATGGCAGATAAAAGGACACTCAGGACTCTATGAGAGCCTCCTTTCCCAGCATCTTACTCCACTCTGTTGCTAAGGCAATAGCTTTTTTCAGTAAATCTATATACTGAGGTTTTGCTATGCTGCCTCATTGCCTGTCTGCACCATTCCTGTTTGGGTGTGAAGCCATCTCTAGATGGTGGAGGTTCTGTGGTTTGCTTCCTTTCTGACTGCCGTTCCTCTGTGACTGCAGCTCTCACTGCTGCTCTGGAGCCCAGTGCACAGCGGATCTTGCTTACCCATTATGACATGGGGTCCAAGTCACTGTTTGCCATGTTTGTCTCAGTATCTCACACTGATTGAAGTCATGACTTTGTAGCATGTCGAGGATACTGCTGGTTGGCTGAGTGACCCCTCTCTTGGCTTCTTACCTATTTCTTTTTGTCTTCTCTGGCCTCTGAGATAGAGAAGCTGGGTTTGCAGATGCGCTTTTCCTCATGTCAGAGGGAAAAAAATGAGAGAAGAGGATAGAGGCCTCAGGGTATAATGTATATTTTAATAGAAATGATGATGGTTCCTATTTTCCTCCTACATTTCCTTTTTCTTGCTTCACAGTGAACAAAAAAGTTCTCTTTGTGGAACAGAAAAAAATACGCTCCCTCTGAGTAGTGGACTGAAAATGAATTTGATTCATAAATGAGAAGACCGAGGGTGAGGCTCCGTTCCGAACTCTGCCATGTGCAATGAAGACGAGAAAACTGCGGCGGCATGGCCTTGGGGATGTGAAGGGACAGTGCAGAGAAAGAGAGCCCTTCATCACAGAGACCACTAGTTATCTCTCTGGATGCTTTATAAGCCTTAATAAAAAAATATCGAAATAGCCTGTTCTCTTGTCTCTTAGAGTATTTCCCTCTGCCATTTGAAGTGTAAAAACCAACCACCTAACCAGGAAATAACTATTGTCTTACATAAGGACGCCATTTCCATAGTGAGGCTTGGGCAAGAGTTCCTAGGCTGCTCCCTGTGCCTCTGCAGGAGAGTGCTCCAGGCAAGAGAGCAGGCAGCTGAGAGAAGAAAACATCTGTTTTGGTTTGTGTGTGTGTCCTTAGGAACAGTCATTGGTCCATATTCTCACATAGCTCAACAGAGCCATAAATGCGGTGTCTTTTCGTTTTGAGTTTTGAGAGAAGCAAGGTCTCTTTTGGGTATTGTGGGCTGTTGTGGACCTTACTGTGTAGCCCAGACTGGTCACAAGCTCTTAGGAGAACAGAGGACTTTTCTTTTACAACGAGAGGAGATGTAGTGTATTCCATCACACTGGGGCCATGGTGGTATCCCATAGCTAACTCTGACAGCCCTCATGTTCATATATGACTGCTGGCTTGCCTCATCCCCTTTCTCAGGCTGTTTTCCACGAGCTATCACAATTCCCCAGATTCCTCTATTTTTTTCTCAGATTTTTGGCTAAAACTGTATGCTTTTTTAGAATTCATAGTCCATATCCTACTTCATTTAAAATACCTGAGAAAATATAGCATCTCCCTTGGCCACAAAGAACCAGTGCTGTCCCAAAATAGCCCCTTCCCGAGGTCCAGTCTATGATTTTGGAGGAAACCAAGTCTTGAGAAACGGAATTGGATGAAAAGAGCACCACTTGCTGGCAGTTGGTTCTGTTCTACTCTTTGGGTCCCCAGGAGTCGAAGTCAGCCCAGCTGGCCAGCGCCTCTACCATTGTGCCATCTTCTTTTACTTTTCCTTTATTTTTGAGGCAGAATTTCATGTATTCTAGAGTGTCTTAAATGTGCTATGTAGCTGTGGATGATCTTGAACTTCTGACCCTCCTGCACCTACCTTCTAGGTGCTGGGATCAAGCCTGGGGTTTCATTCATACTAGGCAATCACTCTACACTTGAGCTACATCCCCAGTCCCCAAAACAAGTTAGACAACACAGGCTAAAGGTGAGTGACCATTAGCTCCTCAGAATGTGCTTGGGAGAGCCGGATGCTATTCCCTTTGCCTTTGAAACATTCTTTGCTCTGGCTGTAAACACTGCTGTCCACCCTGCTGTACAGTGTGCATTCAACACTAGACTTTGCTGCTCTCCAAACAGTGGAATCTAATTCTAGTTGGTGTTTTTTTGACTATGAAATAGCAAAGCATCACTAAGTCAAAGAAGGCTCGATAACTTCATAAATGAACATATTTATAAAGGAAGGGCATTCTCTAGTAATTGTGAGCTGGGTAGCCACACCCATGTGCATTTGATTTCCAGATTATATTTATTTAGGGGTTAGCAGTAGTCAAAATAGAGCAAGAGGAAGGTCCTTTTTGTATGGATAAGAGGACTGTGTTCCTGTGGCCTGGACACTCACTGCAGCGATAAGATTGGATCTCTTGAGCATTTCTTCCAAGGACAGAGTTGGGTAGTAAGCGAGGTAGAAGGCCAGTGCTCCAACAAAACTGTCCCCAGCACCCTGCAACGGAAGCACAGTTATGAAGATAAGCATGGAGCCAGACTGTGGTTCAGGGGGAGGGAATCTGCCTGGTCTTTGGGAGGCTCTAGGTTCAAGCTTTAGTACCCAAACCAAACCAGTCCTTTTAATTTGAGAACAGCTTCAGGAAAGAAGCAAAGGCCCTCCAGCCCAGCTTTGGTGACATCCAGATGTGGCACGTTCACCACAGCTGAGGAAATAATGGTATCAGTGAACTTTATACTTTATTTGGATCTTTCTAGTTTCTGCTCAGCATCCCATGCGGGATGGCATTTTACAGCTGTCCTCTTTTCTTCCATACCCATAGGTTATGACAGGAAAGTGTTTGATGACAGATTAGAGGTCAGCCACTTTGCAGACTGTCTCAGTTAGGATAGATAGGATCTCACTATGTAACCCAGGCTAGCCTCAGTCTCTCCAGTTTGGGATTATGTAAAAAGAAAAAAAAAAGAATTCTGTTTCTTTCTTCCTGAACCCTTGCTCCTGGAATGATGACTCGGAGACTAATTAGTTATTATTGACTACTGAGGCCGTAAGGTTTGGCTCATTCCGTGACTAGCTAGTAGCTTATTTAACCCATTTAAACTATACTATGTGCACCACTTGGCTAATTACCCCTCCTTCAGTCCTGGCCTGCTTCTTTCTTCATGTCTCCTCAGCATCTTAATGTCTCCCTGGAATCTCTCTTTGTGTCATCTGCCTATTTCCCAGAATCCTTCCTCTTCCTGCAAGTGTCCCACCTCCTATTTCCTGCCTCTGGTCATTGGCCATAGGCTTTTTTATTGACAGGTGATGCTCATCTAATAGTTTATTTTGTTGCCTATTCATCCCATCTTTGGCAGTTGGGTTCTTTCCAGCTGCTTCCTGTGTGTGTGTGTGTGTGTGTGTTACACTAGCTCCATCATTCTGTTTTTGCTTGCTTGCTTTCTGGGACAAGATGCCCTGGGCACATTTTGTATATTCCCTCTCTATCCCTAAAATTTGTCATGTTTCCATTAAAAATGCATGCCAAGAGTAGTGAGAGCCATTCAGATGCTATTCTCAAACCAGATACAGGGAGAAGCAACTTTCTTCCCATTTCCCAGGGTCTGTGTTTGAGAAGGTCACAGAGGAACGGAACTAGCACCCTACCATCATCATCAGCGCCTCCAGGGTGACACCTGGTCATGTGTTCACGTAACTAATGTTTAAAGTAAGTTCCAGTGATTGCAGAATCTCACTCTGGAAATTCTGGTGTCACCTGCTTTCAGGGGCATTTCCCAGTGTCACCTCCACAACCAATACTGGTTCCTTAGGCCTACTTTTCACAGTCCTTGATGACTTGTGGCAACATGAGAACCTGTGCACACTGACTTACACTTGCAATCCCAGCACTCCAGAGGCTGAGGCAGGAGGATAACTACAAGTTCAAGAACAGCTTGGTCTACAAAGAGCTCCATTCTAGCCAGGCCCACCTAATGAGACTATCTCAAAAATAAAACAACAAATTACACCAAAGAACCCCTCTATCTGATATATTAAAAATGACTATGAATATGAAAATTCCAGTATGCCTGAACAATTAATGATTGAAGAGATGGAAATGTTTACCATCTCATTTTTATTATTACATTTTATGCATGTATTGAATTTCAGTAATATACTTCATGAAGATGTACAAATCAGCCTCAAGAAAGAATAGAAATAGTGTACTAGTTGCTACAAACATTCTATTGACACAGTTTGCTTTGCTAATCTCCACTACTGCCAAACCGAGGAAACACTGGTCAAGCTGTGTGTGGGAGCATTATTAGGCTAAAGGGTTTTCATACCTTAATTTCCCTTCCCCACGCCATGCACTGTGCCCTCAGAGACTGCACAGGTACACTCCTCCTGTCTCTAAAATTAGGGGGTTTCCACCAAGAACCAGATATCCATACTGAAGAATTCTTGCAAGATTTAAGTAAGAAGGAAAGCTATTGAAATACAATGAGCACATAGAAAAGTCAAGGGGACACTTCTCTATTTTTTTTTTCAAGGTCAGCATTGCTATGATTCCAAAAGCAGGCTAAGATAACTCGAGAAAAACGAAATCAAACACAATAATATGAATTAAGATGCAAAAGAATTTTTTTTTTAAGCAAGTAGAATATAAATATATAAATACACACACACACACACACACACACACACACACACACACACACACATAACACACACACACACACCATGACCAAGCAGAAGTTTGAGGAGTAGTACATCACTATAAGACATTTATTTTTTTGTTTTTTGTTTTTGTTTTTTGTTTTCGAGATAGGGTTTCTCTGTGTAGCCCTAGCTGTCCTGGAACTCTCTCTGTAGACCAGGCTGGCCTTGAACTCAGAAATCCACCTGCCTCTGCCTCCCAAGCGCTGGGATTAAAGGCATGTACCACCACTGCCCAGCTATAAGACACATTTTAAAAATCAATATAAGTATGTTTTTTTAAAACTTTGTGTATCAGGAACACAATAGAAGGTATGGCTTTGCCATCTGAGGGTCATTTATGAGCTGATCTCCTGTGCTCCTCACACTTGAGGAAGAGTTACACTTTCCCCTCAGTCTGGGACCTGGCCTGGGCTGTCTGCTGTCCCTCAGTCTGGGACCTGTCCTGGGTGGTCTGCTGTCCCTTTGGTTAGTGTTGTTCTGTGTTGCACAGCCAGTGTGGAAAGTCAGGAAAAAGAGCAGGTATGCAGACTGGAAAGAAGGAAAGTCCAAGTGAAGACCACAGTGCAATGACTGATGTACAAGTTCTAAAGAAAAAAGTTCCTAGTAGAAATAGAGTTAACAAGATTACAGGATACCTTGTCAGTATAAAATGAGTTGTAGTTCTGTGTAATAGCAATGAACAATAAGAAATCAAGTTTATTAGGCTAGGAATGTTGTTCACTTGGTCCAGTGCTTGTGTCGTATGAATGAAACTCTGGGCTTGATCCCTATTGCTGCCAAAACTGGATGTGGTGGCACATGTCTGCAATCCCAGCACCTAGGAGTGGAGGCAGGAGAAGTGAACACTGAAGACCATCCTCAATTATACAGTAAGTCATAGTGTCAGCAGCTTATTCTCAAATTGTTATCCAAAAACAAACATTTGAGCCAGAAAGATAACAGCTAAGAGTACTTGCTATTCAAACAGAAGGACCTGAGCTCAACGTTCCAAAACACAGTTTGTATCTGTGTTGTAGTGTGTGCCTGTGACAGCAGTGCTGTGGCCGTGGGCAGAGTTGGGAGGGTCACTGGGCTTGCTGACTCCTCTTAGGAAGACACTGTCTCAGGTGGAGAGTGATAGAGCAGGACACTTTCCCCCTGCCCCTGTGCCCCATACCATACACATGCACGCAGTATGCACGTGCACAGGCCAGAGCAATGAGCCAGATGTGACAACATGTTAATGACAGGTGAGTGAAGAGTGTGGCAGAGATGCAATTTCCAAGTTTTCTTCATAAAATAAAAAAGACTTAAAGAATTTTAAAAGTCTCCCTTGGTGACTTTGCAATTGTGACAATATTTGCCTCTGAATGATTTCTCTCTTTTTAAAATGTTTTGTGGCTCTCCACTGAGTCCGTGTGGAGATGAGTCCAGAGACGCTCCTGCCTGCATTGGCTGATACTCAAGCTCACGGTGGCAGTTTCTTCCAACCCAAGCCAAGCACCTGAAAGTTGAGGGGACTGGGAGGGATACCTATGGCTCTGACAGTGGCTGCAAGACAGCCAAGGCTCCAGATGTTAGCAGCACAGCTAGTTATGGGACCGTGGCAGGACATGGCTGCTTTATTTGGTTTTTAGCCAAGAACATTGCCTGAGACAGTCCCCATCCCCAGGTTAAATACTGCAGAGAGGTCAGATTGCCTCTGCCTTTCCCTGGTGACTCCTTGTTTGTAGATGATACCAGAACCCACATCAAAGTTGGGCATAGCCGGGCAGTGGTGGCACACGCCTTTAATCCCAGCACTTGGGAGGCAGAGGCAGGTGGATTTCTGAGTTCGAGGCCAGTCTGGTCTACAGAGAGAGTTCCAGGACAGCCAGGGCTATACAAAGAAACCCTGGATCGAAAAACAAACAAACAAAACCCCCCCAAAACCCCAAAACAAACAAACAAAAGTTGGGCATGGTGGTGTGCATTTGCAATTCTATTCTAGAGAGATGGAGACAAACAGACTCTGGTCGGAGCTGCCCAGTTGGCCTAGCTTACTTGGTGAGTGTCAGGCTAACAAAGCCTGTATCAGAAATCAGGCAGGGGATAACTCAGGAGGTGGGCGAGCTTGCTGTGAAAGCAAGCCCAAGACCCGGGTTGAAATCCACCTAAAAGTTGGGTATGGCTCCACGTTAGGGCAGAGGCAGGCAGGTCCTGGAGCTTGCTGGGTAACTGGCTGTTTGGCTCAAACAGCATGCTTCCAGATCAGTGAGAGAGCCTTTCTCAAGTATGAAAAAAAGGGGTTGGGGGCGGGGGGTGGGGGGGAGATGGGAAGACAACTATTGTCCCTTGTCTCTGCATGTGCATGCATGGACATATCTTCTTGTACATATAAGTGTACGTCACATATACATATCTTCCACATAAACATGGTTCGTAAGGATTGACCTCTTGCCTTTACATGCATGTACACACAACTGTGTACGCCTGCGTGCACACACGCACACAAAGTGTGTACTCAGTTGCTGATGAACCAACTTCTAGTTGCTATTCTAAAGCAGGTGGCAGTTGGGCCATGAAGCCCCAACCCTTGAAAGCCATATTACACCCAAGGATGGGAATGCATAAAGGCAGAGAAGTGGTTCTCCCTCGTTTAGAGTAGACCGGTAGGGAGGTCCAGGTGGACAGCCTCTGCTTTGCTCTGCAGCAGGAGCCGCAAAGCCGGATACTGTACACACAGCACATACTCCCTGCTTCACTCCCCCTTTACCTTGACCTTCCCCAACAAAACAAAGAAGGAACTGCACCTCAGTGATAGTAAGGCATCACTA